TTCCTGTAGTCCACGCAAAAGCGGAGTTCCCCGTTCTTCTTTCTGACCAAGACGACTGGGGACAACCAAGGGCTGTCCGACTCTTCTATAACGCCCTGTCGTTGCATGTTGACGAGCATTTCTTTCACTTCCGATTGTTTTGCCAGGGGTACTCTCCTTGGTGTTTGTCGGATTGGTCGGGCGTCCCCGGTGTCTATGCGGTGGTACGCTTTGTCTGTCCGTCCGTAATCTTCGCTGTTCCTTGCGAAGATATCCACGTACTCGGCCACGAGCTCCTCTAGCTCTTGAAACTCTAGGGTGTTCAAGTGTGGCTTGGCCGCCCTGGTCACGTCCGCTAACTTCGATGTTAGGCCTGGTGTTGGGGGCTGCTCCACCTCGGGCAAAGCCATGAGTGTTACTGGCTCACAGTGCGCCAGAAGGGAGCCGATCTTGAGCTTGTGGTCGCTGTGGGTGGTATTTACGACCCTCACTGGTACTTCCTGACAGTCTCGAACTAGGGTCCTAGCTATGTAGACTCCTTCTGGCGGGTTTGCCCATGGGCTTGCTTCTACCAGACCGTTCTCCGCCCCCAGAGGGTTCTCCATCCTAGCCATCACTACTTCCTCGCACTGCGCGGGTATCACGTGGTCTCTGGCCACTATCAGACTGGATGGACGGGCTGCCGGTCCCGGGCTCCATAGTGGTACCTCTTCCTCCGCCAGCCGCAAGGTTTGGCGCCCGATGTCCACAGACGCATCATAGGCGCGCAGTATGTCTAGTCCCAGGATGAGCTCATTGGTGATATTCGCGACAAAAACCTACATTTTTAGTGGTCGGCGACCCAGGGTGAGGGTTAACAAGGCTTCTTTCAGGATCGGTAGGGATCCCCCAGACACGGTCTGTAGCGTGAAGTCTGGGTTCGGCTGCCTCTCAGGCCATCCGGCGGCGATATCCGGTCTTGCCACCGTGACGTATGCTCCGGTGTCCACTGTCACCTGGCACGGTTTGTCGCCGACCCACCCTTGGGTGACCAGGCTGGTGTTGGCTTTTTCTGTGATGTCGGTGAGTGCGTAGTGGGGGGGCCTTAGTGCATACGCCGGCGTCCGCCCCTGTCCGCCGGCCCTTGCCCGTTTCCCGCCGGTTGGTCACTCCTCCGACTTGTCTCCTTGTTGCCGGGCTGCCACTCTGGTCTCCTGGGCGACTCTCGCCTGTCTCTAGTTCGTCCGTCTGGGCGCTGTCCATTTTCACTTCTTCTGCCGTATTGGCAGTTGCTCTCGAAGTGCCCTGACTCCCTGCAGTTCCAGCACCTTGACCGTTGTGCGTTTCTTCGTTGGGTGGGGAAGGATCGGTACCTCCGGTACGTGTTGTTATTTTCGTGGGGTCTGGCTGCTACCAGTACGGCCTGCAGCTCTAGGGCTTGTCGCAGGGCCTCGTTCACTGTCTTCTCCCCTCCCAGGAGCAGCTGGATCTTGATGTCGGGGTCGCCTATCCCATACGTGAATGCTTTCCCCGCTTCCCTTGCTACGTAGTCTGCCGGTAGGTTGGGGTAGGCACGGCGGGCGAGCATTTCAATGGCTGTGGCGAAGTCTTGTAGGGACTCTCCGGGGTTCTGTATCCTCGTTGTCAGTTGGCAGCGATAGGCCGCCGCAAAGTGTTGGTCCCCGAAGCGGTCCTCTAGCGCCTGGAGCGTGTCCTCATAGGCCGTGTTCATCGGGATGCCGGGTAGTACATCTGCCGCACGGCCTTTCAGGGCGGTGATTAGGTAGGTAGCCTTGTCCCAGTCCGACCATTTGTTGTGTTCCGCTACGACCTCGAATTGTCGGCGGAACACGCTCCACGTCGTAATCCCGTCAAAAGTCGGTGGTTGAGCGATGCCCGTGCTGATTACTGACGTGTTTGGCCCCTGGACCCTCATCTGCCTTGTCTCGTCCAACCGGGCTTGGGACTCGCGTTTGGCCTCCTCAATTCTTCTGCAGGTTTCGTTATGGGATTTTGTGAGATCTTCACGGAATTTCTTCGCCGCCGCGTCGTGGTGCATTTCTGCTGTATTTAGCTCGATTTGTGTCTTTTCTATTCTCTCTGCAAGTTCTTCCAGCTTTGTATCCATTAGGACCTTGTTGGTTCTAATCTCTTCTCTTATGCCCAATATTTCTTCGTGTCTGGCGTCTGCCTTTTCCTGGTAGGCCTCCGCTTTTACTTGATTAGATTTCACGTTGGCGTCAATTCTTGCCAACATTTCCATCATCTTTTCCATGTCCATGTTGTAGAAGTAAAATACTCGATGCACAACAATCTGTTAGTGGCGTGTTTAAGTTCGTAACACTTCTGACACCAATGTAGCGTGTTTTATGTGTCACGCTACAAATAAATTCACGCCGTCTTCGAATTCTGTAGAACCTTTATTGTTCTTCACGCTTACACAATCACGAGTACAGTAACTATTCACTGTGGCACCTCAACTGTCTTCTGCGACGGATGTTCCTGGACTGAAGACTTCTCGTCGAAGCTGGGCTTTTATAACCTTGGCAGCTGCTAGGTAACGAACCCTCTCTTATAGCGGTGGAGACGTTGCATTGTTGGTTCCGCGTTTCCTACGCAATAACCCATTGTTATCGCGTTGTCTCTGTGGGAACCTTCGCGTATTCTCGTAACCGTGGAGATTCGATGTTCTCGGTACAACGGCTCACTGTTGGGATTACAGTGACGCTATTGTTACTTCCTATGTAACGGTCTATTCTAGTGTTTCCATAGGAGCGTCTCTTCTGGACACCAGACACGTTACAATACATTCACTCTTAGAGCTGGAATAGCACAGTCAGTATTGCACCTTATGGGCTGGACTGAGGGTTCGGAGTTTGAGTCCCAGTAGGGACCAGAATTTTCTCTTCGCCATGTCACCCAGCCTCCTAACTAATGGGATCTAGGGGCTCTTCCACAGGGGGTAAAGTGGCCAGGCCATGAAGCCGATCACTCACCTCCAGCTAGTGCAAAAGTCAAGAAAACTTGGATCTATACATCCATTCCCCCATACATTCCATGGCATAGTGTTTAATTAGTTACACACATGGACAGCTTTAGGAGTCCATACAAAAACAATTTCAATAATATTGGACTTTGTATGTTAAATCAGTTGCCACAATATATTAAAGAGATACCAGTACTATAAAAGTTTAAAAAGACTTTGAAAACATTCCTACTTGATCATTGTTTCTATAGTATAGACGAGTTTCTCTTGTTTGGGGACAAATTCTAGTTCTACTAACTTGTAAACATAAATTTCATGAATAATTAACTTCTTTTTCCATGTCCTGAGTCATGTATGCATGGCCAAAACCATCGGATTTAGGTTTCCATTGTCCACTGCACTGGAGACAGTAAATTCCTGCCCTGGCCTCTGCAGGAACACATATTACAATTGGGGTCTGACAAAATGATACTGAGACATGTATATGAAAAACCCTTCATGGTCAGATTTCCTGACAGGAGTGAATGGAAGACGGGTTTCGGCCCGATAGAAAAGGGGGACTGATCTGGTATACAGATGGTTCAAAGACAAATAAGGACACTGCAGCTGGTGTGTACTGCCATGGCACAAAGCGGAAACTTAGTTTCAGCCTTGGGCAGTACACGACAGTATTCCAGGCAGAAGTATATGCCATTAAAGCATGTATTATGGAGAATTTAGATAGGAACTATAGAAATAGGAACATCTACATTCTATCTGACAGCCAAGCAGCACTCAAAAGCACTTGACAAACACCAGATCAATTCAAAATTGGTCTGGGATTGCCACCAAACCTTCATGGAACTGCCCAAACATAACAGGGTACAACTGATATGGGTGCCAGGGCGTGAGGGTATTGCTGGAAATGAAGCAGCAGACCAATTAGCCAAAATTAGAGCTGAACATCCATTCATAGGACCTGAACCAGCCTGTGGCATCTCTCTAGGAGTTGCCAAACAGGCAATCAGGAACTGGACTAACATAAAACATAAAAAATACTGGGAATCCTTAACTGGACTCAGGCAGGCTAAGGGACTCATACGAGGACCTTCCGCTAAAAGAGTGAAGGAACTGTTGAAGCTCAAGAGGAACCAACTAAGATGGGTGGTAGGACTACTTACAGGACACTTTCACCTCAAAGGACACCTGTTCAAACTGGGACTAAGTCACAGTCCCACTTGTGAGAGGTGTCAGATAGAAAATGAAACAGCCACACACATCCTGTGTAAATGTGAGGCTTTAGCTTATTTAAGACTACGTCACTTGGGTCAGTACTTTATGGAACCAAGTGACTACTTTGGCATCCCCACGTCCAAAATCCTGCGCTTCATCCAAAGCGTGGGGTTGCTGAGGGAATAATTAAAAAAAAAAAGGGGGGAAGCACAATGGACCACTGAGGTCTAAGTGCAAGGGCTGAGAAGGCCTACCCCTTCATTCATACATACATACATACATTCATACTGTTTCAATAAACTGAGGGATATAAGATCCACTTCTTCTCAACAGGCTTGTCATGAGAGTATCATATTATGTCCCTGCAACAAAATTAACTAGAATTCTGAAATTACATGACAAAACTTCCAGTTTAATAATTAAGTTATATGCTATTTTGATTATAAACTCAATTACCAATACTACAAAACATTCAGATTTACACATTCTTACAAAATAAAGACTGATGCATACACTTTATTTTTGTTTCTCTGAACATTGAGGTTTGGTGCATATATTCTTTTGGGCTTTGATTCAGTATTGTGGTTTATTCTGCTTGGGCCACATGATCCAAGAGTGAGGTCTCGACGCCCACCAAATGATGGAAGACGTCCTGGGGCTGCTCCTAAAGTTCCTGGTTCAATCTTTATGCTGGCAATTAGGGCTGGCAACTTTCCGATGTCCTTTTTCCTATCCATAATTTCCTGAGAAAAGAGAAACATATCTGTTATGTAAGATTTGAGGCTTTCTGTTATCTTAAAAAATTATTAATTATCTACTTTACATAAATGGCATCATTATGTGAGTTACCACAGAAATGAATTTACAGTCTTAATGTATTATAGACAGTTCTAATGAACTGTTTTATGCCATGTAAACATAATACTCTCAAAGTAAAATATATCACAATGGCAGTCTTTTGTTTCCTTATATTGCTGTTATTCTGTAGGTGATAATATTAGCGTTATGTGAGATGTAGTTAGTATTTATCAGGGAATGTGAACTGGTTTCTAAAAATTTAGAAACTTATCTTCAAAACAGGCACTCAGATGTTAATCAGACCAGTTAGGTTAATTCATGTAAAAGTGTTCTGATCTTAAAGCAATAAACTAATCAAATACTGGGTATACTACATTCGTGGATATGGGAATTTGTATTTAACAGGTTACAGCTCATGCAAACCTTCGTAACTTATTCATTCAAACTTTTAACGAACGGCGTCATCCTATAAGACTGGATAAAATAACATCTTTCAAATACAGGTACGTTCGCATTTAAAGTGAAAGTCAGTTGTAAACGGAATTTCTTTCACAAAATAAATTATACTTACCTTCACGGCATATAAACATCGACCACTTCGTACGACAATACGACTACTGTATCATACTCATCATGCTCATCATACCCATCATACGGTATCATACCTCCATGTTCACAGCATTGATATAAACGATATCAAGCACCATGTTCGCCACCCTCGCCACGGATCCGATCTGATGTCATGAACGTCATAATAATAATAAAAAAGTTAGTATGTGTGAGTCAGCGTCCAGAAATATATTTCTGGAAAATTTTTCTTGAAGAAAAGTAAAACGACAATTGAGACAGCTATAAATTTGACTTTTGATATTAAATGATATTGTGTTTGCCATCAGTGCAGGATGTGTGATCTTGAATACAAGTAAAAGGGCTATGTACATTAAATTTGTTGGTTAGGGACTGATTGATGTGCACATTACTTAGCAGTGTGTTGGATATTTATTTATTTCGTCTCAGTAGATCATTGTTACATGATATAGGATGAGTCAGTTACTGTACATTGGCTGATTACAATAAGAGAATAAAGTTACAATACTTACAATTGTTTACGATAGATTACAGTAGATTACACTAGTTAAGATTGTATATAGGCTGAGGTGGAATCCATATTATGTCCCCACGGCACGTCTGCTTCCATATGTCCTATTGTACCGGTACTGGTGATAATGCTTATGGAGAATTTGATGGAATGAGGTTTGGCAGGGGAAACCGAAGTACTTGGGGAACACCTGCCCCTGCGCCACTTTGTCCATCACAAATCCCACTTGACTAGACCGCAACGGTAGGAAGCCAGCGACTAACCGCTTAAGCCATGGCGCGGCCTGTGAGATAATATTGGTGAATTTGGTGATAGCATTGGTATAACGTACTACGTAAATAGAGGATATAGATATTTTGGGTAAGTGTAAGGATGAAATATTTGCTTATGCAAACATGGAAATTTTGATTGGAGGTTCTGTGCCCCATCCGGGAAACAATCAGCCTTGAGCCTTTCTTTCTTTCTCCCTGGATTCTCTTCCGTTGTGATGTGATTGTGCATTTTCGCCTGTAACAACATGCCTATAACCAGCACTGACTTCTTTCCAACCCTACCCATTTCCCTGCTCACCAGGTGCATGAGGTTTCCCTCATATTCGCTCGTGCTGCCCTGTTTCCAAATGGCACAAGCAGCCATTTAAGGACCCAGGTTAATCACTCTTGTCTTGTCTTTTATTGTCTCACTCTGCTTCTCAGAGAGAGCCAGTGATAGTAGACTGGGTGGCTTGCAAGTTACTTGCTAGGCCATATAATCCTGTGTTATTGTGAAACAATTGTACAAACTATATACGAGTATAAAGGATTCCCAACATCACGTGGAACTCTTTTTGGCCTGTGTGCAGGCAATACCTGTTTATGTAATACATCAAAACACTAATGTTCTGTCTCTGCAAATTGCAGTATGGCCTATTTACAGTGAAGTCATGGTGTGAGTGCTGACACATAAAGATCAATGAAGGGAAAACCCAGGCTGTCTCCTGTAAAATTCTTAAATAGTCCCTGAGGACATATTGCAACTAAATGGAGGGAGCATCCCGTTTGTAGATAATGCAAAGTATCTCAGTGTCATATTCAACAGGAGGATGACATTGAGGCCCCATATCAAAAGGACTACAGTCAAGGCCCTGGCTACGTATATGAATACATATAAGAACATACACCCTATTCAGAAGTGATCATTTAAACATTACTGAAATTGTTCTTTATAAAGCTCAAAATTAGGTCAGTAATGGCTTATACCTGTTCTGACTGGAAGTGTGTGGCAAATGGTCACCTCTTAAAACTGCAGCACCTACAGAACCGAGTTCTCCGTGCTGTCGGCAGTTTTTACAGTCACACACCAGTCCATGAAATACACATGGCTCCAGAATTCCTTGTGTGTACAGCTATATAACAAAATTATGCAGGTAACAGGTGTAAGTCATCCAGAACCTCCTAAATCCAAGTGTACATGCAATTGAACAAGGAGAGGCCATAAGAAGGCATAATCTGATGCAGAAGTCTGCATTGACTGATATCCTGTGTATATCCTGTGCACAAGAATTGTACATTGTAAAGTGACAAAGGATGCATGCTGTCCATGAAGTAGAAATGTCTTACCTGAACACTGCATGAGTGCAGGTACAGTCATGTGAATCTGTAGTGCAACAAATGTGGTGCCTCCTCAGGGGAACAAACCCCTGCTTTCAGTGAAGCAGAGACCCCATTTCCAAATATAAATGAAGTCATGCACCCCACCAGGGCTTGAAAGCAAGAATGACTGCGCTGGCAATGGCCAGAAGCAATTTATTGGACTGGACTGGACTGAATGGGGTTTGCTATGTTTGTTTGCTTCATGCTAGTTTCTTGTATGGTGTGTTTATAAACCTGAAGAGGGGGGCATTATGTTCCTCTGAAGTTTCAGTTGACTCTCGCTGGACTAACTCATGTAATATCTCAAAAGCTACAGCTCTTTGTGCAAAGTTCCTTTTCCTGTAATGGTGAAATTTGGGATCAACACCTTTCTTTCTGGTTAACCTTTAATGTACGGACTTTTAAATTGCCAGCATCCCCTGCAGCCAGAATTTAAATGGCCCCTAAGCCTTTAACATTGCAGACTTTCAGAAAAAGACTACATATTTTCCGTTCTATGCAACATAGAAATACGAACTAAAAACAGCCTGAAAGACAGTAAAATTTTCTACATATACACAAAAGAGCAGTTTTTACAAATGAAAATTAACTGTGATTATTTTGTCATGAAATGCAAAGTATAATCTTTATTATATATGTTATGAAATTCCAAAGGACTTACCCATAGCTTTTTCTTCAACCTTGAGATATGGTGATTTTGTAAATGTAATCACTATGTACAATAATATTTTGTTCAGACTGTACACGAGTTTGAACTGCCTCACTTCACAGAGTATGATACCTCACATTCTGACGCACATGTGTCAATTCTCAAAGCAGTCCATGACACACAGCGCAACATCACACTTTTACAATAGAAAAGGGTGCTCCTGCTTTTCTTATTTAGTGAACACACACAACGTCTTTGTTTCCCTTTGGTTGGTCAATGTTGTGAATGTTTCACCTCCAGTCGACTCATTTGGGCCCCAGATGAACTTGGCCTCCCCCAAGAAACGCCACTGACCATGATATTCACCTCGTGCGATTGAAGAATCATCTTGGGGGGCTAAATCGAATAAATTATGTTGATTGACAAAGCGACACTCTCACCTGTTAGTAATACTCGCAGAACAGTGATGCAGAGTAATTATAATACTAGTCGAAGAGTGCCAGTCCGACACTGATACCGAAAGTCACAGTGACAAAGATGCCTTTTACTCACAAAGTAATACTGACTCAGTGGGTTTATATGTCTTCTGAGACACAAAATAAAGAAATATATGACAATCCGACACTGACTTCCTAACTGATAATTCACTACTGAAAACCAATCCTTGAATAGTCACACTTCCTTGAAAGCTCTGGAAGCACTAATCTGCGAGCACAGGTGAATATTTACTCCTCAGTTCTCAAAACGAAGCTGGGCTGCTTTTGGCTGACCAGGTCATAAACAGTCATATCTAAACGTAAATAGTATTAAAACCAGTGTTGTGATAAACGTTTTCATTGTTCAGAGCTAATGATTGAACCACTGACATGACTTAGCCTGGGTTTACTCCCAAAATGAGCACCTGTCCTGCCTTATATAAATATAACATTCGGCCACAGCAGGGTGTTACTTGCTGATAGATATATATAAAATTCATATGTTAAAGGTTAAGTAATGTTCCTCAGCATGTGGTCCATGCACTGCTAATGTCATGTATGCCCATCTAGAAATTTTAGCTGGAATTAAAAATATGTGTGTATGATTCACTCTACTGAACTGTTAGTACAGAACAACCTGTGTTTTACATAAACTGTATTCAAGTTACATATGTTATGTACTAATTTCTTCTCTAGATGTCTCAACCATTTTCAGACATCAGGCAATATAAATGTTTTCACAGACAGCTCATGTTATCACAAATATGTGTTGTCTTGGTAAAATTGTTGAAGTTGGAGTTACACTTTTATATACTTCATTATAATACAGTAATGATTTCATGGTATGCATTGCATTATGTAAATAGCATAGTGATTGGCCATTTCTTCCATTTTAAGCATCAAGAGGTGAATATTTGTTACTACTGCATTGGTCTTTTAGGTCAGCACTTCATAATTTTATGTATATTAAAATGTATTGTAGCGTGTTGTGTGTGTCACGCTACAAATAAGTTTACGCCGTGGTATTTGATATAGCGAATTTATTCCACTCGATCACCTCGCACACCTTACAATCATCAGCTCTTGCAGTGTTACAATTACTGCTTACAATATCTCGGCGATACTGGACTGTCTTCTTTAGCGGTTGGATCCAGACTAACTGTGCGAATGCATTCAACCCCGTTTTATAACCTCGGTTGCTGCTATGCAACGAACCCTCTATTATAACCGTGGAGACTCCTGTTAGAACTACAATATAGCAATTGTTGTTTCCTATGCAACGGTCTATTCTAGCGTTTCCATAGACGTGACTCTTCTGGATTCCCGACACATTACAGTATATTTCATACACACATCTTTAAAAATTTTAAAGGACTCTTGTTCAAAACCTACTTTTGCAGGTTTGCCTTTACTAGTCTCAACTCATGTGTTCCATACAATATGAGACAGATGATCAGTCCTCTGAAACCCACTGCTGATTAAGTAGTTTGTAATCAGAAAAAATGAGTCATTAGATGACAGTATCCATCAGGGTCATAGCTGCCCTCCCAGTTTTAGTTCCTTTGTATTTCTCAGCTCCCCACCTGCCTTAGACAAGATGGATGTGAGAGACAGTACCAAGTAATAGCAGCATTGCATGAAACTAGAGCAGCTTTTAATTGCATGTTCTTTCCTGGAGTCGCCTAGTCCTCATCTGTCTGCCTTGTTACATATAAAGCAAGACTGTTCATTAAACTTTAATGCATGGTGAATGTTATTGGTGTGACATTAAACCAATACATAGAATCATGGGTTTTGCGCTCAGCACTAACATTTAAGAAGCAGGGTTTCCTTTCACTGATACTTTGAGGAATATCTTATGCATATTTAGGAGTCTGTCCCACTTATACAAGTCAGGGATCTGAAGTTCAAGTATGTGACATAGTGTAGACCCTGAAGTTTGACTGAACCTATCTTGACCTACAGGCTTAGGCATTTTTTATGCAAACATAAAGGTGAAATGTCTTATCAAGGTCCTGTTTGTCTCTTAGTATTGACAGTACATTTGCCAAAACAGTTCCTGTGAAACTTTGTAGGAAGGATACTCTTAAGCCATGTTTCTTAACTTTTGATCTACCATAATAACTAATTTAGTTTTATTATTTATTTCATCCATAGCTGTAGAGAATTACAATTGAACATGCCAACATATTTTTGAGGTTGGATCCACAGTATCACTACATTATTTAAGAATAAATAATATTTAATAATGGCTGTAGAATATTTGGACCTAAGAAAGAGGAAGTAATAGGATGATGAAAAAAATTCGTAATTATATATTCATATAATGAAGCAGGGAGGGTGAAATGGGTGGAGCATAAGTGCATAGAGATGAGAAATGCAGTCACATTTTTAGTTGAACCTCAAGGAAATAAACTAGCTGGAAGCCTAAGTGTGACAATAAAGTTAAAATGTATTTTAAAGCAATAGGATGTGAAGTAAATTAATATAAGACCATTTGCAATTTCTTCAGATTTTATTTTTGTATTTTTTGTTTCAGACATCATGTATGCTCAAATTAAAATTTCTGGCTGTGTTAACAGTAAGATACTGCTTAGCAGCATAATAAATTCTTTGTCAAGACATTCATCATGTCCAAAGAAGTTGGGTCCCTGCTTACACATAGCACATTTTAAGTGTCTATGTCATTCGTTAAGAACTAAGAACCACAGTGACGCTGAATTTGGTGCGACATCATTGAATCATACTAAGATCAATTTAGAAACTAAATGGAAACAACATGTGAGCAAACATATAGTGACAATTAACCGTAGTTGTTTCATTGTTAGCCGATGGTTTCATCACACTTCAGAAAACTTTGGGAAAGAAAATCACCCAGTTCCAAAAGCCTTTTATATGCAAAATCCAATAGCATGGTTGGTCAATAAATTAAATTTTGGAATGCTAAAGCGGACCTGGGATCCTCACTTTGACGAGTCAGAATTTCGAAGAGGAACAAAACAGGTATGAAGAAAATTGTGACATGCATGAACAGATATTTTGACTACAGTTTTGTATTTATCTCCATTTGTCACTAGAGCCACAAAATGCAACTTTTCCTAACAGCCTGTCATTCATTCAGTTTTAAGTTCTCCCCATTTATGTATTCTTTGCACTAAGTGTTGAAATATCTGCCTCATCTGGAGGTTGCCATCTTTCCATTTTCATGTTAAATTCATGAAACTGTTGAACAGATTTCAGTTAATTACTGTGTGTTAGTTAAATGTAACACCTACTTTACATGAAGTGTAAAGCTAGTTACAAGAATTTGGTACATGACATGAAATATAAACCTCATTATCATCTACAACCTGCTCTTGAAGCATTTTTTGATATAATGAATATATAATGGAACACAAGGATAGTTTGATTCTGTGCAGTTTGGTATGTGTAAGGATAAGCTTTCTGATAATACATCATTATCTGTAGTAAATGAGCACGAAAGCCACTGACATATGCAGCACAGCAAAGAATACAATTGGGAATTATGTATACTCCAAAAGTGGAGACACTCTCATTCTTATTTTTATTAGTGTTTGTCACCAAAACAGATGTGCAGCCACAAATTAGTTATGCCTTGTAGGTTGTAGGTTTGAATAATAATATCAGCATCATGTACACATGATTCTAATAAATCATAACATGCTGTAAATTATAATGTAAATTGGATTGTAAAGAAAAGGTGGAGCATCAAACATTGTGGCATATGTATAGCACTCCTGATTTGTATTCCCCACTTAGAGTGTCAGTTGAGAGAATGTCTATCCAGGCTTACATTTGTTTACTATTTCTCAATAGGCTCTACCTTCAGTGAAAGTCACAGAGAGCCTTCTTCATCTTGGCTATTTTTCCTTATGTGAGTGGTCTAGCAACAGTGTCTCCATTTACCTCCCTCTCGTTTTTCTCCCTTGTTCCTTCATTTTCATCATATCTTTCCCATCCTGTTGTTCCCATCTTGATCTCTGTCTTTCTCTTTGGCATATCCCTTTTACTTTAATGTTTGAAATCTTCTTGGGTATTCTTCTTCATTCTTAGAACAAGCCTGTATCTTATTTTACAACATTGAAACCCCTATTTCAGGTTTCTTTTGGAGCAATGAATTTGAGTACTAACCTGAGGAAAATCTTAAATGGAGGAAATTTAACATTGCGATAACTGACTTGAGGTCAGTAAAAATTAATGTTAAATGAGGGAAGGCTGTAAATTAAGGAACATTAAACAGGGGTTCCATCTTTAAATTTTTTGTATTTTTGTGTGTGTGTGTTTTCTGGCTTTTCCTTCTGTATTTCTTAAAATTCTCTTCTCTGATATACTACCTTACCAAAAGACAATGCCAGAGCAGTTTCCTTCCATACCTTTGCCAGTTGAAATAGCATAATTAAATAAGCCATGAAACAATAAAAGGGAGTTCTTGCCAAAATAAAGATTAATATGAATGGACATACATGCTATTAGTATTCTAACGATGTTTTTAATGTCCTGATGAAATTATCAAATGTGGAACAGTGTGGAAGAAGGAAGAAGAATCAGTCTGTTTAAAACCAAGAAAAGGGCCAATGTAATGCTATGACTTCAGTTTTAAAATTTTAATATTAAGCGAATCTGGAAAGCAATTTGAAAGTGTCTGCAATGAAAAAGTTTGAATGAAAGATTCCCACACTTATTTAATATGATGATAATTGCTTATTTTATATGAGATTAGTGAATATATTTTGTACAAGTGCGATATAAAGAGAATTTTTTTGAACTTGTGGTTTTAAGGGTCATGACACCATGGAGTCCTGTAGGTGGGTACCAACACTTTGGAGGAACATGTTGCCTCCATCTTCAGGACTGAATTGTGTAGGAATTGGTTTGGTTATATATAGGCAAGCTGCAGGAAAGATGGTCACTTGGACCTATGGAAAAGAAAGGGAAATGAAGACCAGTCCAGGCCAGTTGGAACAGTAGGTAGGAAAACACTTGAACACTTAAATATAGAAGCAATATGTTCCTCCAAAATGTATTTGCCTATGAGTTCATACATTGTCACAGACTAGAAGAAAATTACTGCCATGCAAACCTCAGAACTTATTTTCTTTTTCAGTTTAGTATTTCATAATTTATGTGTACATTATATTCAGGCAAATGTGGTATTCTTTCAGATCTTCTTTATTGGTATAGCTTTTAATTGAGAGTATGAATACAAAATCTGTTCATAATTAGATTTTGGTCTTCAGATGTAGACATCCATGTTCGTCTCATAATGGTAACCACCTGTGAGGACTATACTGCAGTGTCATAACCATAAAAATCTTCTGAGTCTTCACAACTTCTAATCCAATCCATTCATATTAATTTCAATCATTTTTCTCCAGGCTGTTTCGACAATTACAATGTTTGTATCACAGAATCTGTTTAGTAGCTTAAAAGGACTATTGACTAAGCAAGCATTAATTACATTACAACGAGATGTGGAGACAACTTGGAGTGATGAACAGAGGCGACATATTGGACTAGAACCAGGAGATATTCAACATGCAGTTCCTAGACGAGTTCACTTTCAGAGAATAGTCGGTAGGTGAAATGTCTGTTACCAAGAAAATAAGCCCCATTTTCACTAACACCAATCAACTGAAATAGTAACTAGGTAAGATAAAAGGTGAAGTTGTGCCATGAAGACATATGGGGGAGTGGATATATAGACCCATGTCTTCTTGACCTCAGCGTTAGTTGGAGGTGAGTGGCCAGATTCACTCTCTGGGGAAAGAGCCCCTGCTACCTGCTGGATAGGAGGCTGGGTGGGCCCCAGAGCCAGTGTGGACGACATGAAGAAGAGAAAATTCTTGACCTTACAGGGACTTGGAACCCCAACCCCTCGGTCATTAAGTCCATAACCAGACTCTCTACCGACTGCACTATCCCATTTCCAACAGTAACTAGATACTTGACTGAAAGGCCATCCTGAGTATTTCATATTTTGTTTCTCAAGTTCCTTTAAATAGGTCGTGGGAACATCCCAGATACTTACACGCTGGTTCGCCAGTCTAACAGACAACACTCACTCCTAAGTCAAAGTCATACATTGCTGGCAACGCTCATATTTATACAGCACTCAATGTCCAATCCACCTCTAGATCATCACATACGCTAACCAATCACATTGCTGGCAGCACTCATATTTATACAGCACTTGCTGTCCAGCCCACATTTAGATCATAACGTGCGCTAGCCAATCAGCACTCACAATCGCAACTGCAAGTCTCGCTCCACCCATTGAGCATGGTATAATAGGCGGAGCCCAAAGCTCGCAATCATCAGTGATCACATTCAGTTCAGAGCGAACAGTCATCAGAGTCATCAGCTCTTCACTGCGACCAGGTAACTGACGTAGTTGCCGCAAGTCTCCAGCGACCAGGCGGCCGACGTAGTTGCCGCAGGTCTCCAGTGACCACGATCTGCGACCAGGCAACCGACGTAGTTGCCGCAAGTCTCCAGCGACCAGACAACCGATGTAGTTGCCGCAAGTCTCCAGCTACCACGCTGTGCGACCAAGCAACTGCGCTTTGCTACCTGCTGCAACTCTCCATCGCACGCACAGTGGAACAAACGGCCTTTTTCAGGGCCCGCAAACTTTCCGAAGTGGTTGTCTATTGGAGTATCAACAAATCCCACAAGGTCATGAGTACCCCTGCCCCTATTTTTCCATATTATCATAACTATATTTGTACCACATCGAAAGTTGATAAAATGTAGTTGAATAGTCTGTAAATTGTTTAATTCCATTCAACATGATGAGTCTGTCTCTTTCTGTAGTCAAATATTTTTTTTTTTGTTAATTCTGATTTGATAGACCAGTAATCTTTCATGGAGAATTTACCATTGTTTTCAAGCTTCTGACAGGAAAATGAAACAGCATTTAAGATGAATAGAAAAAGTATGCTAAATAGGATATTTATGATGCAGGATCTGCTCTGCTCTGTTCCTACCAAAATAATTTAGTATATGGGTGACGTGTGTACTCCCCGCATTCTGGCAAGCAGTGTGTCCTTTCTCACCACCAGACATTACACTGAGTTGTTGTTAGGCCTTCTGCTTTGTAGGAATCAGTTTCCAGATATGATTCTCAGCTGGATGTCCTGAGATTTCTTTGTTGTTTACCTTAGTCCCTGTAAATGCTGAGATAGTACCTTAAAGTATGTCACAATCACTTCCACACCCTCCTCAATTCATCATTTATGATCTCTCCAGTATACAATATTATAATTTAACACAGGTTTCTTACATAATCTAAGAATCAGTTTCTTTCCACTAATCAGTACATTTATTTTAATAATTCTTGCTTACCTATTAGGAAACCTTATTTTTCTCACGTTATTAATTTATTAAAAGATGTAAAAAATAGCAAAACTGTCAGAATTACTTACATTTTCGAAACAGATCAAGCAGGATTCTTGGATGATGTCTTGGCTAATATATTCTCCGAGAAATGCTAATTTGAAACTTTCTAAATTAACTTTGTATTCAACTCTTTCAGAACAGAAGTTTTGTGATGTTGACATGGTTTTCGTTGCTGTGAAGTGGACAGAATATGGAGGATCGAGTGCATTTATATTTGTTGAAGTTGCTACAAGGTGAGAACTGCACCACACAATATTCTAATAGAAGAGTAACACTAAAAATCTGTTGGCCGATACAACTAGTATAGCCAATATTATATAGTGCTTAAATTGGAATTTGCAAAAATATAAATTTTGTTAGTTTTGATAACAACCAACTCTATAATTAACATTAAGTAAACACTTTAAGGTTGCCGATGGCTGTAATTTTAATTATATGAATAATTCACTTTACTTCTACTGCACTACTTTCAATAAAACCTTCTGACCTCCACTTTAGATTCCATCGTGAGTATACAGAAGGTCTTCTGCCTGGCTGGACAGTTTCATTATTTCGGGTTACTCGCTTCAACATTTTACCAAGGAGCACAAAGAAATGAACTGACACACTGTCACTGTATTTGGTTTATATGAAAGTTAATTAGCACATCAGATCATTTGTATAAAATTGTACATGTTAATACTTGTATAATTTATATGTAAGTTTCTGATCTTTGTAAAACTAAATATACATACACCTTTTCCTTGCACTTTCTAATAGCTTCTTTCAGGATAAACATTTCAATATATTTTGCAGCAAGGGTTACACTGTTTTGTTTTCAAAAACATACTTTTGAACACAGTTACAATCATGTAGTTGTAACCGGTCATTACCTACTGACATAAATTCAATAACCCAAGTATCAAATCCAGCACACCGATGGCAAACTGAACACAGAGCCCAGCCAGCAGGAAGACCTACCTGCATCCCGAGAAGGCGAGTATGACTGGCCACAGGACCAGCCAACGGAATCAGGTAATGAATCCCAAGCAAGTGAAATGACACAAATGTCGCTACTACAATTAGATGAGGCAACAGACCCACAAATACAAATTAACCCCAAGACAAGAGACCAACCCGCAGGCAAGGAAACTGACCCAAGTGGAATGAACGAATTTAAAGCTATGTTTGTCAGCACTTTCGCCACCTTCAATAGTAATTTTGTCACCTTGAACAGCAATGTTGCTGCCTTGGACAGTAGATTCGCCACCTTAGAAACTAGTAACAAGGAATTAAAAGAAAGTCATAAAGCCGACCTCAAAGAAAACAATAAAGAGTTAGGAGACAAATTAGAAACTAATCTTAAGAAAGAATTAAGGGAAAGTATGAAAAATTTCAACATGAAAACAGACCTCAAAATAGAAACTGAAAAATTGGTTCAGAGGTTTTATGAGGAAAATGAAATACTCCTCAGAAATCAGGAGTATAGTCCAGAAGGTTAACCAAGTTCAGGCAGAGGTAGAAGCAGAACTAATAGCTGCTAGAGAAAGTGTTGACACTGTTAGGGACGATATGGAGGAGAAATTGGCTCAACAAACTTCCCATTTAAGCAGTACTGTGGAAGAATTAACTATTGAGATAAAGGATACCAGAGCTAAGACAATGAGACAAAACAGCTAGACAACAGAATCGAGTCAAACCTAAAAAGAATAAATAACCTAGACAAAGAAGTAGGCATGATAAAGAACACTATTAAGGAAAACTCTGATGTAATTTTAAGGCGGCAGGGGGAGCATGTCAAAGAGATGCAGTTACAAGCTCACGAAGAGAGAGTGTCAGGAATGAAATTGAGAAATTGAATAATCAAATCAGAGAGTTGAGAGAGCAGACATTCACAACTATGATACTGTTCCACGCACTCCCTACCCTACCGAAGAGAGCAGCGTCAATAACGACAGTGGGCATGGTGCCAGAGACATAAACCCCAACCCAAATGGATGTTACTCCAGTTTTCCAATTGCTAATAGCGGGTTAGGAAATTCAGAGCTCCTGTTGCCCCTATTTGACAACGGCTTCGAATAAGGAGTCTGGATCCGTAGCATTGTTTATTAACGAAGAGAGCTTAACTAAAAGCCCTGTCTTGGATATTTCATTGACCAGTGATATAAAGACCAAGGCTATCCTGGATTCAGGTAGCAAAGTAAATTTATTAGCACAAAGTATTTATGACAAGTTAAACCATTCGGGGATGGACATCCCTACGCTACCTTTGGAGAACATAATATTAGTGACAGCATTTGGAAAACGGTCTAATAGAGTAAACAAACAGGTGATGGTAGAATTTCACATCGAAAAGGATCTGTTTGAAGTTAACTTTTTTGTATCTCCACAGTTAGTTATTGATGCCATCCTAGGTTTTCAGTTCATGAAGGAAAATTGCATAAGTTTGAACTTTGAAAAAGAAAGTTTCACTTATGTGAAGAAGGGCTTGTATGGGAACATCATTCTATCAGCTGGTGGAAACCCTGAAGGTTGAACACAGTGACCAATTTTCCGGGAATGCTGATACTCCTTCATGCTCCTATACTGACCAACACTGCAGTGTCAACTCAGCTGACTGCAAGCTCTCCGTCTCACTATTAGAGATTCATGACTTTCAGAGACCCTGTCTTGCAGTTAGAATCAACAGAGAAGTACTACAAGGTGGATGCCAGGAACCCTGTTGACTCTGTCTACACGATCCCCACCCACAAAGGAGCCAACCGAGTCAAGGTCACTGTGTGGGGTCAACTTGGCCTGCCTGCTTGAGCACAACACGAACCTAAACAAAACCCAGAAGAACTATTCCAAACATTGATCAAGTACCTAGAATTCATGACTGCGTGACCAGGAAAATGCAATTTACTGAAATACAAGTTTCAGGTTGAGACTTATCTCCCTGTTGTTGGTTACTCTAGACCAATTCCATTTTCCATGAGACCGGCTGTCAAAGAACAGATAGCGCAAATGATGATGATATTCAAGAAATTTCCAGTTCTTTCTTAAACCCCTTGACTGTAGTCAACCGAGAAGGCAGAAAGCCCAGGATATGTGTAGATGCTCGAAAAATCAATCAGTTCACTGTTCCTCCACTGCAAGCACTACTACAAAGATTTGAAGGCACAAAATACATGTTGTCCATTGATTTGAGTTTGGCATATCTACAGGTGGAACTCCACAAAGATTCCAGGAAGTATACAGCTTTTATACAAAAGAGCCCTCTGGATTCAAGAATTCATGAGCAGCCATTATCCGAGCACTCAAACTAGCGCTAGGGAGTGACTCTGAAAGCTATGTCGTGTTTTATGTGGATGACATCCTGGTACATTCTCGATCATTTTACAAGCACTTGTCCCATCTTGACACAGTAATAAGCAAGCTTACAAAGGCTGGCTTCACCTTAAATGCGATAAAATGTCAGTTTTGCTTGGCAGAAGTCAAATTCCTGGGGCACCACATCAACAAGACAGGTCTATCGGCCAACCCTGACCACATTGAGGCCATTTTGAATTATCCAGCACCGAAAAACTGTAAACAACTACAACAGTTTCTCGAGACATGCAATTTTCACAGCCTCTTCATTGTCGGCTATGCAGGCTATGTTGCCCCACTCTTACCATTATTGAGGCAAGGGACAAAGTGGGCATGGACAGATGAAAACCAAGAAGCGTTCTTGAAGCTTCGCAATAGTTTCGCACATAGCATTCATCTAGTCCACCCACGTGAAGGACTACCCTATCAAATTTCCACAGACGCTGGCAAAATGGGTATCAGTTCAATCTTGACCCAGAAAGGCAACTCTGGTGAAACCTTAGTAGTTTCCACCGCTTTGAGTGTTGACTCCCGAGGAACAGAGATACACTACTTGCGAGCAAGAGTTGCTAGCTGTCGTCTGTGCACTCCAAAAGTTCAGAGTATATGTGGTAGGTCATCCCATCACAGTGTACTCTGACAATAAAGCTTTGTCTTTTCTAAAGAAGTGCCAGCTAACATCTGGTAAAGTGACATGCTAGATAATGCAACTCCAGGAATATGACCTGTGAGTGGAACACATCAGTGGCACTAACAACTTTTTCGCTGACACCCTAAGCAGAAACCCTGTACGATTGGAGAAGGAAGGTCAGAGCCTAGTAAGCAAACATAGAGAACTCTTAGTGGCCAAGATAGATTTCGGAACAGACAAGACCCTATTAAAGGAGTTCGGGAACTTGTCCCAGATCAATCTTTGATCCCACGCTCACAAAGATTCTTGAACAATTAGAAAAGAACCCCAGTGTATAGAAGGACAAGTACTTACTTAGAGACCACATCTTGTTCTGCAAAAATGACAAGACACACCCATACTGGATAGTACTACTCCCTAGGAACCTAGAGTACAGGGTAATAGAATATGTGTATACACTATCAGGGCATCAAGGCACTGATAAGTGTGTACAACAAATCTCACAATCATTCCACCTAAAGAATTAGGTAGGAAGGTGCGGAAGTACGTAGCACACTGTGACACTTGACAACGTGTGAAACACCCAAATAGGGCAACAGAAATTCTGAATCGATCCCACATACCAGCAAAACCAGGAGAGTTGCTGACAATAGACCTTTATGGCCCCCTCCCCACCGGGCGTGGCAGAGTTAAATATTTACTGGTATGTCTTGAAGTGTTCTCTAAACATGTCACCTTGTATTCTTTGAAATCTGCCATTACTAAGAGTTGCCTAAACAAACTGACCAACCACTACATTAAGAATGTGGTGAAACCCAATATCTTGTCAGATCACGGATCCCAGTTCATCAGCCCATCACGGAAAAAGACACTTTTGGACCTAGGCATTGAAGTCAGACACTCACCTCTCAGACACCCTGAGAGCAATCCTACCGAATGAGTAATGCGAGAGTTAGGAAAGTATGTCCGAATAAATTGTAATGAAACTCACAAATAGTGGCCAGAACTAGTGCCTCCCATAGAAAGGTGGATAAATTCCACAGTGTGTGGAACAACAGGTCATGCCCCTATAGAGCTATTAAATGGCGAAGAAAGACTGAACGTATTCAAACAAATACTAAAAGTTGGACATGATCAACAGCCAATTGAAGATGAGTTGGCTGTAAAAATATTGAAGGCTTATGCTAAAATGAAACTGAAGGCAGAGGAAAGAAACAAAAGGCAGTTAGACAAAAATAAATAGGAACCCAAATTAAATTAATTAATTTTGGTAAAATTTCAACATGCATCAGATGCAACCCAAGGAATAATGGGAAAGTTTCACCGACCATACAAAGGACCTTATAAACCCAAACATGTATGAAATACTCGACGAGAGAGGGAATTCATGAGGGTTATTTCACTTGAGCCACATGAAACCATACCTACAGGCATGTAAGAACTTGTGAATGACCTATAATGTTAGAATTCATCCGTCCATCAGAACGAGTCAAGCTATATAATTACTCTGAAGAAAAAAAATAATAAAGAGTAAGGTATTCCCAAAATTGGGACGAAATTTAATTGACTAATGTCAGGATCGGTCTTCGCTTGCTTGGAAACCAGGATCGTTCGTTCAAATCCCACTCAGGGCATGGATGTTTAGTTTGTGTGTGTGCGTTTTTCTATGTTTGTGTACAGGTAGAGGCCTTGCGACGAGCTGATCACCCGCCCAAGGAGTCCTATCGAATGTGTAAGTTCTAGAAAAACCAAAGTGAATGGAGAAGTTCATGGAAGTAGGCCTAGGCCCACTGGGGCTGTAGTGCCAAGGAAAAAAAAATGTCAGGATTGTCGCATTTGAAATGACCAGCCGTTGTATCTAGTTCTTGTACCACGTAAAAAATATATAACCTATGAAAATAGGAAATCCGCTGTGCACAATTTGGGAAGTTGGAGAATCAGAATAAATGTATACAGGTTGTCCCAGGAGGAATTGACCAAACTTCGGGAGGGTGTTCCTTATGTTAAAGTATGCCGATATAACCCAAAACACCTATGTCCAAAGTTGAACGGTTACGGAGATAATGGCCCAAGAAAAGTGTGGTCTTCTGGCAGGTCCACGCACTGTACCTCTCAGCTGAGGCCTAATTTATTGTCGCGTATCGGGTGTATAACGCGACAACTGGTGTCAGAAGTGGGATTTGGACTTACACACGTGATCAACGAGATTCGATCTCAACACGTTACACTGGTGTCAAAAGTGGGATTTGAACTTACGCACGTGACCAACGAGATTCGATTTCAAGACACGTGACAAACTGGTGTCAGAAGTGGGATTTGGACTTACACACGTGATCAACGAGATTCGATCTCAACACGTTACACTGGTGTCAGAAGTGGGAGTGAGTGTGCCATAGAATGGAAGTAATGGATGAATGGGACACAACTGGATCTTCTGGCGAGCTGAAAGGAAACCGCTCGAGACGAGCAGGTCTCAAGAGGGGAGCGGGTGTAACAGCCGGAGAACGATCACTGCAAGGAGTAGCCATCTCACTAATCGCCAAAGGGTTGAAACAGGAACACACACAACAGAGCACCACAGACAAACCACTTAACTCAGACTGACACCAGCTCACTAACAGNATACTTTTCATGCACTTATATCAAGAAAATTATACCTAGTATGAAGACTTGATTGTAATATCATATGTAGTATATCAACAAACTAGTACAGTGACAGTGTACTTGAATAAACAACTGATGTATCAACAAGGACAAGGATGCAAAGTATTATCAAGCTTAGTGTCATGTATAAACAACAACAAATCGGTGTAAAGTGATACTCATACTCCAAGTGAATTGTAAGCAATAACATTAGATAATTCAGTGCCATTATACAGTCATGTTGAAGAAGCATTCACTTTGAGATAGTGTTCAGTATTTAAAAGATAAACATTATTGTACTACTTTAACTGTACTACCATGTAACTTAGTTATAATCAATTTATGTCAATAATCAACTTATATAAGCATGTTGTAATAATCAAGTATAAGACGGCAGACGAAGCAAATCTTGTTTCAACAGTATTGAACCAAGATATGCTTGGGAGGTTGTAACCAGTCATTACCTACCGACGTAAATTTCAAAAGTTAACGTTTGTTACTTAGTACCAATTTCATACTAAATGTAACTTATGCCCAGTCTTGCATTAACGGTTCTGAGAAGTCGCAATGAGCAATATGCAGATAAGATGCTACTAGAAGGTTCTTTGATAGTCGGTGTGGTATGTTGATGATTACTCATCCCACTGCCAGCCTAATTAAGGGAAGCTTCCAGAATGCTCTTGATGTGAAAAACAATGAAAAGAAGCTTTGAGAAGGATCTGAAAGGTCCCAGAGCATTACATCATGCATCAGGTGAGTTCAAGAATATTCTTGAAGAGGAAGATTCCAGAACATTGCGTCATCCTTTAGTATTTAACCCTTCTCTGATGCGGCACGTTTAAAGGGCTAATTTGTGCACGGACGGAGGAGTTTTCTCAATTTAAATGCCTAAAGTGCNTACAAGACACGTACAAGTAATGGAAAATTAACGCTCATCAATTAGGCTGGAAGACTGTCCATTGTTGCCTAGTGCTGTGGTCATCCAAGTTTGTGTACATCATGTGTTAAAGCCTAGCAAAGTTGTAGAACTGCTGTTGTAAAGTAAACATGTAGTGTGTTGAATAAACCAAGTACTCAACTACCAGTGCTTTGTGGTGGTCTGAAGATTTCTTCGCTGGGTGTGTGATCCCTTCTCATCAAGCAAGGCCTGTTAAGCCCCGAGACAGACTCTCAAGGCTCGAACCCAGGACATCATCCTTTCCACATTACAAATACTTCGACGTGGTTACCAGACCACGTAACGGCACCCATCTCTCATATCAATAACGAAGTGCAAGTACTGCTAAAAATAGCACTCAACGTGACACATCACCAAGCCTCTAACTAAAGAACTCTCACAAGTGGCTTCCCTTAACATGGGGCAGAAAAAGTTTTGTTATATAATGTACAAATGTATCCCTTTGCTTTTCTTCACTCATAGTGCCATTTGAATATATGATGGTGAGACCCTTTGTACATCTGCATGTTTCGTTTTCAGAACTGCTGAATGAATTTCGGGGAAATTTAATAATAGGGCTCTGGACTAAAATGTTTCATATGACTCCAATATGCTGACATACAGGACAGTTATATTTTACTTATTACAGTATAATGATAATTTTACTCAAGAAGGGTTGAAACCACAACAAATGAAAGACCACTGTCATTTTATAAATGTTATATCATTGGAAATGCGTGTACAGTATGGAGTTCTCACTTTCTACATTTTGATACTTTGCAGACCATTAGTGCCTCAGTCTCTTTCGATGTTCAGAACTTGGTGACACAGAATGTTTTCGCTTCCTTCTGTGACAGCTTTCTTTATTCTGTTGCTCTTCATCAGAATTTCCACTCGATGGTTCCTAAAAGCAATATATTTGTTTTAGCAAGATACCTAATATTTTTTGGTTAGGAAAATCAGTTCCTTGTTCTTCCAAGAACCATAAATGGAATCAGCAATTTGAAGTCAGTTATCAGTTAAAAATATTTATTTAGGCATACCATATTGTGTTTATGTGACATAATTCACAAAACAATAAAGGCTGATAGTATGTTTCGAGAACTATTCAGTTGCCTTAGTAGCAGTCTACACTGAAAGTTGTGAAGTGAATTTCGTTTCGATTCATATCAGTCCAGTACAACACCTGTCATTACAAGGGGCTCAAATGTAATATAATTTTTCATAAAATAAAATAACTCATCATACAAAAGAACTGGGATATTCAGTCCTTGGGATCTACATTTACTTCAAAGAATTTTTTTATGGCATATAGTTAATGATATAAGGGAGGTTCTCACCTTTGTTGACTGGTGCTCATGCGAGACACATACAAATTTTGCTGATGAACTGATATGCCTGTTGGGCGATAACATTTGGATTCAGGAAGTTACAATTCACAGATCACAGGAAATACTGAAAATGCTGTCCCTGTTAATTGTGGACTGAGCTCACCTTCGACAACAAACTATAGAAACCAACTGCAAAAATAAACCCTGCTAGCTGGATCATGTGGCTGCATGGTGTGGATTACATTTGGTTTATAGGGTAAGCTTCAGCAACTGTGTTACCCTTCTTGCACTACACTTTGACACCCCAGTCTCTTGAGATAGATGAGTGATTTTGAAGGTGTATGTTCAAGTCTGGCTCCTATGCACTAGGTGCATATGTTTTTGTTTCTTGCATTTTAAGAGTCCCATTGATCTGAATTTATTCACCAAATTGTGAATTGTTTGTATGTTGGCAACTCTTTCATCACGAAATTTACACTGAAATTTTCGCCTATACTTTCTAGCTGATCTGTATGTCACATAGGTGTCATACAGAAATACACGTTCTAAAATATACCGCACCATGACAGAACAAGCTGATAATTTTAACTGAGAACAAATGGCTAATGGAGCTGATAACTGCCTCCAACAGCTGACAAATCATAAGTAAATTCCCATGCATGAACCGCACTGCTCGCCATGAAATATTATTATTATTATTATTATTTAACTGCAAATGGGTTTTCACCCAGTGGCAGTGGTACTACAATAAGACAACAGACAAATATCACACATAAACACGTTCAAACAAAACAGCACACAAAAATTAGTAGAAAAGCGAAACATAGTATATAATAAACTTAACAGTAATGAATGTGTAATGTCATGTTTTCATTTTTCCTTCATTTCGCTTTACTACACTTATGTAATCCTCCCATCCTTAACACTTTTCACTTCACTTTACTGTATTTTTTTCCTGATTTCCACCCCACCTTCACTTTGACTCATTTATCAATTTCCTAACCCTTTTCCTATAATGACTTGCTTTGCAGGAGAGTCCCTAAAGCATCTGAAGGTAGTTGGTTCCAGATCTGTATGGTCCTATTTACAAAGGAGTATTTTCCAATATATGTTCGTTGCACAACTAGCCAACGTTTTAAATATATTGTACAATTAATATTTTTTTCCTTTTTATATTTTTCATGCCCTTCATATCATAACAAATTGTATTACAATATTGAATTGCCAAACTATGCTCACTATGTAAATATATATTCACTTCCAACACAGCCATCAGTTGCAGGAATATGGATCCATATCATGACCATAAATTTTAATCACTTGAGTTATGTTCATAGGTACCTGATGATGACTTAAACAGTATGGTCGAAACATGTAGCACAAGTTACATTTACATTAAACAAGTAAAATATATACCTATACCAACATCAGTTACCTTCATTGAAGATATCCCCACTTTGTTTGTTGTGTCAACAGTTTTAAGTAATTAAGTACTTTATGTGCCTCACATGATTCAAAGAATAAACAAAGATTATTTTCCTAAACAATGTTTTCTGCGAGGTAGACACCAAATTTTTAAATTTGTTGGTAAATTTCAGGCTTCAAGGACATAAATTTAAATATAAGTAACAATTACAAATTTGTATAAGCTTTGGATTTGAGAGGTGAATATCAAAATTAATATTGCTGCATTCTAGTGGACTGATCTGACTCTGAAAAAGAGTCCAGTTATAGGTTTTGTTGATGTTACTGAACATTTTGTTTCAAATACTAGACAGAAAGTACACAGTCAGTGGTATAATTGATACAAAAATGGTGATACATTACTTACTTCAGAATGTGATGATGAAGTTTTTTGTCTGCGCTTCCTCTGCTTTTTATTTTTCTTAACTTTTCTGTTCCCCTTTTCCTTCTTGTGCTGAAAATTATTTAGTAATATCATTTCCATCACAGACCACCTTTTCTTAATTCATTCATACTTTCTTTGATCTAACACCTTCACTGCTGGTCACTTAAATTCAGACCTCACTTTAAATACTGGGGTTTAAAGCATATGTATGGGAATTTTGCACCATCTGTGTGGGGGGGGATGACAATTTTATATTCCCTTTAGTAGCTGATGCCATGTAGCAGCATTTGGACGTAAAAGATTTCACACAAATCTTCATTCCTTCCTGATGTTCCTTATGTGACACTCTGCAATGTCTTGTCAGTAATTATCACCTTTGGTGGTGGGAATTTGAATGAATTAGAAAACATTTTCTTCAACACTGGTGACAATGTCTTGTATTTACCAGTCACTCTCCTCAGGACAAGCACATCTTGCTTGTGTCAAAAAAACGACCTCCCCTGGTTTTAGCGTCTTAGATTGTTCAGCCACTGGCAATGAAAATGTCTGATTTTGGAGGAGGGGGCTAAATAATTGGAGAATGTGTAAAACAGTTAAACTTCACAAAAATCATGCAGTACGATCATTTGCAAACCAGCCTGATAGGTATGCCATCTCACAAACTGCTGGCAATCACCCTCATAGCGATGTGCTCTCATGTACTTCTACTGTATATAACTGTATTAATTTTGTTTCTAATGAATAATGATAAATTGGTAAGGGAATTCTGATACTAGAATAAATAATTTCATATACACTATTGTTTGTCATAAGCATTTCACTTTTGTGCCTAATTTACTCAGCCCCTAGAAGAGGTGTACTCTTGGCTTGCCCCCACTCCTGTCCTCAGGATCCAATGCCAGTGTCTCCAACCAAGTCCTTCTGAATGCTGTGACTCAACCAAATTGTTCTACACATTCTCATGTTCTTCTCTAACAGAGCTTCTGTAAGTCAGACACTGCCATAATAATCCTGGCAAGCACAGTAGTGTAACTGGTATTGGCTGCCACTGCACACTACTGTATAAATGTCTTGTGCCTGGTTTTGGCAACTCTGCTGCAATTTGTTGCTGGTTTTGTCAATGATCATCTGCGTAAAATTAGAATTATAAAATGTTCCAGATGCACAGTCAAATAGAAATAGTAGAATGTGAATTACACTGTGGGATTGAAAATAAAAGGAGAAATGGTGGGAAGATGAATGCTTTTAGCAAAACCTGGCTGACCTAATAATTGATGATTCTAAAATGTCATCAGCACTGTCTTCTGATAATTATTCTTACAGACTTGATATAGGTATAAAATCAGAATCACTAAGTTTCTCTAGTGTTACTGATCCTAGAATCTTTTCACTGCCATGACTATGATGAAAACTATGATCACAGACAAAGCTAACTGTGATCTCAAACTCTTCCTTGTAAAATTGTCCCTGTGTTTAACTAACTGAGCACTGTAAAGGCATATGGGAGAGTGAATGTACAGATTCACATACAGGGGATGAACAAAAATATGGAAACACCTTGTGACATGCATACCTGAATTGAAGTGTTTATTTTAGCGATGTTTGTAGGTCACGCTGTCATATCTGCCCAACACCACTACCTGTACAACCTGCGCAATATGTTAAAGCTTCATTTGTTGTCGAGACAGTGTTCTGTGCAATTTTTTGTTCATCACGTCAGAGCTAACAGAATTCGAATGCTGGCAAATTGTTGGGGCCCATATGGTGGGTGCTTCCGTAACCAAGGTAGCCAAGATTTCTGGTGTTTCACGAGGCACAGTATCCAAGATTATGACTGCATACAGGAGGACTGAAAAAACTGCATCCGATAAACACCAGCATGGACAGAAATGTGTGTTGAGTGATCAAGAGAGACGAACATTGTGTAGGATTGTGACGAAAAATAAGAAGACTACAGCTGCAAGACTGTTGAACTGAATGTCATGCTCAAAAACCCTGTCAGCACCAAAACAGTACAAAGGGAACTCCCAAGCAGGGTATTTCTGGACGAGCTGCAATCCCAAAGCCACTCATCAGTGATCAAAATGCCACTAAAGAGGACAGTTTGGTGCCAAAGTCATAAAACCTGGACTATGGAGCAATGGAAGACAGTCATTTGGTCAGATAAGTCCACCTTCACACTGTTTCCGACTTCTGGCCGAGTTTACATCTGGAGAATGCCATCCCAAGCTTACGATCCAGATTGTTTGCTGCAAAGAGTGAAACATGGCGGGGGTTCAATCATGGTATGGGCAGCCATATCGTGATATTCTGTCGGACCCATCATTACCCTGCAAGGTCATGTCACTGCCAATGACTGTGTGACCATTTTGGACAACCACGTCCATCCCATGATGCAAACTTTGTTTCCTAATGCTGATGCCATTTACCAAGTCAACAATGCCTGTGTTCACATAGCTCACATCATCCAGGACTGGTTTTCTGAGAACAAAGATGAAGTGTCACATCTGCCACGGCCCCCACAATCGCCAGATATCAATATTATTGAGCCTTTGTGGTTTGTTCTGGAGAGCAGTCTGCATGCGCACTATCCATCTCCATCATCGATAACAGAACTCACCATGTTTTTCAGGAAGAATGGTACAAGATTCCCTTGCAAATCGTACAGGACCTCTATTTATCCATTCCAAAGAGACTGCAAGCCAGAGGTTGTCCTACACCATATTAGTCATGGTAATGTGTTTTTTGTTGGGTGTTTCCATATTTTTGTCCATCTCCTGTAGAATTCCAAAAGACATGAACAATATTTCGATTTAATACACATACAAACTGCTATATGGGAGCCAGGATAGCACAGTTGGTATAACGACTGGCTATGGGCTAGACGACCGAGAGTTCAAATCCCGGTAGGATCAAGAATTTTCTCTTCTCCACGTCATTCAGACCGGCTCTGGGGTCGACCCAACCTCCTAACCAATGGATACCAGGGGCTCTTTCCCTGGGGGTAAAGCAACTGGGGCGTGAAGCTGACCAGTCACCTCCAGCTAGTGCCAAGGTCAAGGAAACATACATTCACTCCCCCATACACCTTCATGATGTAGTGCTTAATTAGTTAAGCACACGGGCAACTTTACCTTTTATGTTACATACTTCTACATAAAAAAGTCCACAGTAAATACTGCTTGTATTATGGTCCACAGCATATAACCCTTACTGAAAAGTTCATGTCTGGTGCCTATCTTTCTTTACTCTTCCCCCCTCCCAAATTTTGTTAAGTATCTTTATGTATTTTACTAATGTTTAACTCCTTCCAATTTGTGACAGGAATCTCACCAAAATTTCAGAAAGCCCAATATGGAACAATTATATGAACAAAAATACTGTACGCATAATCCAAGCATTTGCCTGGATGGAATGAGGAAAACCACATTATAGCTCAAGGTAGTTGGCCTCTGGACCGGAAATCAAACTCAGGACATCTTGAGTATGATACTAGACCCTTAATCATTGTTGCAGAGACTCTCACTAGAAGCACCACATACTGACACAAATTTATCTTTTCTTTTACCTTCTTTTTCTTCTTCCTTTGTTTTTTTGCTTTTATATCTTTCTCTTGAACTGTGCTAACTTTGGTTGATTGATTCTGTATATCTGGCTCTTCTTCAGGAATTAGCTCATATGTTTTTCCATCAGGACTCTATAAACCATAAAATGATGAAATGAATAATGACTACATACTCACATAATTTTTGAGTGGGGGGTGTGCAACTTCATTTCTTGTCCTAGTGTCAGAACGCTTACTGCAGGTGTTTTTTAAACAAATGCAGAGGATTATAACAACCTAGGAGAGATTACCATACTGGCCCTAATATAAGGTGAGGGTTTTCTTCAAATACTGCTTCTTAGAAAATAGTAATTGCCTTATTTTGTGGTATAACATGAAGAAGATGATCATGGGAAGTAACTCTTAGAGCTAAATCGCATAGTCACTTTGTCAAAAAAACTTTTTCCCGGTTTTTTGTATTGGAAAACTACAGAGTTGCCCTACATTCGGGCTTATACGGTAACAAAGGGCTAGAAAGATTACATGAAGAGCTTTATAATTTGCACACTTTACCCAATTATTATAGGATGTTTACATCAACAAGGATGATATGGACAAGTCATGTAGCACACAGTGAAATGATATATGAATACAAAATTTTGTTAGAAAATTTCAAGGAATGAAACCACATTGGAATCTTATGTGGAAACACATGACATCACTAAAATAGATCTTGGAGGAACAAGGCATCAAACTATGGACCAGATTCAATTGCCTACTGATGGCTCAACCCACAGGTGAAGTGCTAGTGGGGTGGGACTAAGTCCCTTGTACTGCAGCCACATCTGGCCTATTGTACCAGCCCCAGATAGGTGAGGGTGATTGTGGAGCAATTGGTGGAATGAAGATTGGCAGGGGAAACCAAAGTACTCAGAGAAAAACCTGCCCCAGTGCCACTTTGTCCACCACAAATCCCACTTGAACAGACCCCCGGGATCGAACCCAGGCCACCGTGGTGGGAAGCCAGCGACTAACCGCTTGAGCTATGGTGCGGCCATGTGAACATGTAAAATGGTCATAATAGGCAATACTAAACTAAACTCCATGGTTTCAGTCTGCAAGCAAACTATACCGACCAAGCTACCGCTGCTTGTTGGCAAAGTTAGTGCGAACTTTAGTGGATATAGGGTGTCGCATGGTCAGTACAATGAATCCTCATAGCCGTTAATTTCGGTTTTCTAGACCAGAGCCGCTATTTCCTTGAAATAGCTCCTCACTTATCCTCATGACACTGATTGAACCCCGTTTCAGACACACACGTCATCATCAGTAATCTGTCAGACGACAGGTCCACAGTCTCTTCCAACACAATTCCTCCACTTAATGCGATTTAGAGCTTTCTCCTTCAAATGACAGTATCCTCTTCTGTCCCCAAGGTCATCCAGCATCTTCTTACGTCTTCTTGTCACTTCTATCCGCCCCTCTATCTTTCCTTCAATAACTTCTTTTAGAAGGCAGTTTATGCGTAAACATGACCAATCCAATTAGTCTCCCGTTTTCTTATTTCGTGTAGGATATTCCTCTGCTCACTGACTCTAATTAACACTTCTTCATTTCTCACATAATCGGTCCAACTGATCTTCTCCATCCTTCTCCAACACCACATTTCAAAACTTTCCAGATGTTTCTGA